TTTGTCTTTAATCCATCGTCCTTTGTCTTTAATCCATCGTCCTTTGTCTTTAATCCACCGTCCTTCATCTTTAATCCAACGTCTTTCTACTCGTCGTCTCTTACAGACTCTGTTTCTCCTTCACCTTCAGGTAAATCTTCTCGACGTGTCTTTCTCTCCTGACTTGTTTTGTGTCACTGCATCCACAACCTGCAGGGTCCGCGTCCTCCATGAATCTGGCCGGACACGTTGAATCGTGTGAGGACGTTTGTTAAAAAGTACATTTAGCGTTACAGGACCAGTTAAAGCTGCACATCTTCTCCTAATCTTCTTAGTAAAATATTCCATTGTCACTTTGCATTTAGTTTCTTTCAGCTTGTTTCTTACTGTGGACACAGTTGAGCAGAGGCCAATACTAAAAAGTTTCTCTACATTTTTTAATCTTGCCCAACAACCACAGTGGTGCCCCATGTTGGCCTTGTCTTCTGGTGTCCGGGGGGGGACAAGGCGGGTCTCACACAGAGTCGTGCAAACAGGCCAGTTAATGTACACTGGTGTTAAAAAGTCGACCTTTCCAAAGGTCTCGGTGCCGACCGGCTGATAAATGAGTCGCTGGATTTTGCTCTCATTGCTCCAATCAGCAAACAGTGAGAGCTTCTGGGAATGTGAACTTTACCTTCTCCTAAAACAGCCTCCGTTCAACAAGCTGGAAGCTGGAACCGTCATGTCTGGAGCAAACATGTCGCTGCAATGAGCAGAATTAGCTGAAATAATAACATAAGAGCTGAACGTAGTTTCAAACAGCTGAAATTAGCAAAAATAAACTGAATGGTGTAGATAAAAACAAAGTAGCTGAAAATTAGCTGAGAAAAACAGAATAAAAACAGAATAAAAACAGAATAAAAACAGAATAAAAACAGAATTTAGCAGACAGAAGTAGAAAGTAGCAAAATAAAAATAAATTTAAAAAGCTGAAATGACCAGAAACAAGCTGAACGGATCAGAATAAACTAAAAATAACATTAGCTGTTGGGAATCTGTGATTTAGTACCACGACAAATTTAACCTCCATGCTTCTAAAAATGACTGAGTTGAAGCTGAAATGAACTGGAAGGAGCACGAAGACATGCATCGGGGTTTCTTTGTGGACACATTGCAGTCAGAGGGGCTTTGTGAAAAATCATCAGAAAAAATGGTTGAATGGTGTCAGTGGAGAACAATCCAGTTACCCTGAGCGCTCGAGGGTGGGATCCACTTGATTCCTTTTCAAAAACTAGACTGAGTTTTGAAAACAAGTCCAAATGCAGCGCCCGACCCCATGATCAGCTGATAACAAAAGTTATAAACAGGAAGTGCCACATGTTCATCTGTACAAAGTAACTGCAGGTAAATCCTCCATTTTCTGTCATAATTACATTTTATGCTTAATGGTTAAATCAAAGGTTAATGCTTAGTTCAAGTTGTGTTTATTAGTCATGTGCAGGTTAACCCAGGGTTAACAGTACAATGAAATGTTCAGGGTGAGAAGAACTGATATAAAAGAACAAACTAGAAATACTAAAGTATTCAATACGGCTACAAAATAAAGTACCAAAAAGTGAAAAAGTAATTATATTATTTACAAGTCCAAAATAAAAAATAGTAAACAACAACATGGTAGAATAAAACTGTGCAAGCAGGATGAATTTGTTTGAATAATAATTTCAGTGTAGTAATATAACATTAAATGCACATGATGTATTTTGCACATAAACTACACAGGTTGTGTGACGGGTTCCTGCACAGGTAGTGAGCCATGATGGAAAGGTAGTGACATACACGATACAGCCACATCGTGCAGCAACAATAAACATATTAGTTGTCACAGATGTGGCCTGGCGCAATGTTATTGTCAATTGTTCATCATTATTATCGAGAGTTCAGTAATCTGCCAGCTTGTGGGTAATAACTGTCCTTTAGTCTTTTGTAGGCGATGGCAGACTCCTGTATCGTCTGCCTGAGGGTGGTACATGGAAGAGTCCTTGTGCTGGGTGGGTGTGGTCCTTAACGATGCTGCGTACTTTACGCAGACATCAGTTGTGGTAGATGGTACCAGTGATAAATCGTGGTAACCCGCTTTATGCTGGGGTCAATCAGGTCTCCTGCTCACGTGTCCAGCTCGTCCAAAATGCTGCAGCTCAGCTCTTAACAGGAACTGGCAGGTTTGAGCACATCTCACCGGTTCTGTCCTCCCTTCACTGGCTCCCTGTGTGTGTCACAATTGATTTAAAAATCCTCCTGATGACATTTAGGTGCATTAACAGCCTTGAACCCTCAGACCTCTCAGACCTTCTTTATCCTTATGCTCCTTCTTGAGATCATCAGACCAGCTGCTTTTGGTTGAATCAAAAACCAGGCTGAAGGTCAGAGGAGATCGAGCCTTTTCAGTCGTGGGCACCAAACTCTGGAACAATCAACATTCGACAGGCAACTTCAGCCTCTGCTTTAACATCTCTCCTGAAAACACACCTGTACTAATTGACACTTAACACAAGGTGATATGATTTAGTATTTCATTGTTTCTGATTATGTTCTGTGTTTTTATGTTTTTGTTCCATCCATCCATCCATCCATCGTCTTTTACCCGCTCCTTTCATTTTGAGTCACGGGGGTCGCTGGTGCCCATGTCCATCAATCACTGTGCGAGGGGCGGGGGACACCCTGGACAGGTCTCCAGTCCATCACAGGGACACATAGAGACAAACGAGACAAACAACCATTCACTCTCTCACTCACACCTAGGGACAATTTAGAGTTACCAATCAGCCTAACATGCATGTTTTTGGTCTGTGGGAGGAAACTGGAGTACACAGAGAAAACCCACGCATGCACGGAGAGAACATGCAAACTCCACCCAGAAAGACCCCTGGATCGGGATTTGAACCAGGGACCTGCTCGCTGAGAGGCAGCAGCTCTACCAGTTGTGCCACCGTGCTGCTTGTCTTGACTTGACCAATGATCTGCCTCTCATGATGAACCTTAAACAGAACCTTGCTAGATGCAGTCCCTGCCTCACACCCTGGGGGGCAGAATAAACTCAGTAAAAATGAATATACTAAATAAATGTTTATATTTGTTTCAGAATCTGCCAATCTTCCTTCCTAAACCCTTCTTTATCAATTTGAACATCCAGATATCAGTGTTTATTTGGAATAGAAAACACCCATGGACTGATAGTCTTGGTCTTTAGAACCTACTTACATACATAATGTAGGTCAGAGCATCCCTGATGCATCCATACATGTCTATGCTGATGACACCGTTGTTTATTGTCGAGCTAAAATTGTTGCTAAGGCTTTCCAACTTTAGCAATCTGCATTTAACATCATCCAGACAGATTTGTTGCGTCTCAAACTTGTCTTAAATGCCGACAAAACCAAAGGGTGCTTTTTTCTAACAGGAAGTCAAGTCAAGTCACATTTATTTATATAGCACATTTAAAACAGTAAATGTTATCAAAGTGCTTACCAAAAAAGATGACAGAATCAAATATTAATAAGGAAGTTGGTCCCAGCAGTTCTTCCTCTGATTTCATCCTCAAATGGTGTCCCCATTGAGTTTGTTGATTCCTATAATTATTTGAGTATCTTGGTCGACTCACATCTCTCGTTTAAGCTCCATGTGGAAAACTTGATAAAGAAACTGAAAGTTAAACTGGGTTTTGTCAAACTGGTTGAAAACAACAAAGTCCATGCTCAACAACCCAGGTATAAAATCCAACATTTTTCAATCAGGTCATCTGGACAGTTTTTTTTTTTTTTGTGCTGAAACGTTTTGCCTTCGATCCAGAAGGCTTCATCAGTCAAGGAAACACACAACAAAACTGATTCTTCCCTCAACAGCTTACTCCAAAGTGGAACAAACCAGTTTTGTTGGCGCTAAGATGGTCTCTTTGGCACATCCCTCCTCCATTGCTGGCCCTCTTCCTTGTTGACAGTCGTGTCAAACTGGTTAAAAAAAAAAATCTATCATGGTGCACTAAGATTCATAACTGGCTGTAACTACCGTACCCACCAATGAACCCAGTATTCACTGGTTAACTGGTCACCATTAACTCCACACAGACTCTCCCACTGGTACATTTTCATCTTTAAATCACTTCCTGGTCTGCTGCCTTCATACATCTCCTCCTACATGTCTCTGTGTGAGTGCAGCTACAGCGTGCGCTCTCAGGACATCATTACCTGCAGTGTTCCCTCAGTGAGGACTGAACTAGACAAAAGGACCTTCTCCTACTCCGCTCCTGTTTCCTGGAACATCTTGTAAAAACATCTGAAGCTCTCGACCTTTGACCTCTCTAAGTGTCTTTAAGAATCTGTTGGACTCCTGGCAGGGACCAATGCAGACATGTTCCTGTTTTTAGTTTTATACATTCACCTTAGAATCTAACTGTTTTTTGTTACTTTTCTTTGCCATCTCATTGTAATTTGTAAAAAAAAAAAATAAAATCTGTATGTGTCTTTTATGATTGTCCACTGTTGTCATCTTTCTTTGTTGAATTCAGGTCTCTTTTGTAAAAGAGTCCTCGAGGCTCAATGGGATTTACCTGTTTAAATAAAGGTTGAATGAATGGAAAAAAATAAAATTATATATATATATAAATATATATATATATATATATGTATAAACAAACCCTCCTGAAGCTGTTATGTTGCTAAAGAAGCAGCAGCCCAACGGCAGCTGTTTTGTTGACTTTTGTCTGGTTGGAGTGCGTTATTGTCGCCGTGTGTCTAATCTGCAGTTTATTGATGTTGTAACTCTTTTGCCCTTCAGGGAATGGGACAGAGAGGTGGTGTCAGCCAAGAGGCCCAAGCTCCTGAAAGCACTGGCCAGATGCTTCTTTGGCCCCTTCGCCTTCTTTGGCATCCTCCTCTACCTCGGGGTGAGTCTGCTGCGCTGTCCAAACAGACAAACAAAAGCATTCGGTCCGGACATTTACAGGTTGCTCTTCAAGGATGAGGAGATGCTTCGCACAACAAACTATTTTAATGTTTTTCTGGAGCAAAATTTAAAATATACATATTTTAATGAAACAGGGTGCAATTTCTTAGTTTAAACCTAAATTTGAAATGAAATGTGTTTTTTGAAATTTACAAATCGGTCAAAGCAATTGTTTGGTTTTTATTCATATCTGACTAAATTTCTTTTTTGCAGAACTTTTTCCAAAAGTGCCGTTGTGCTGACTTTTTAAAGTGTCCGTTCTTTTGTAACAAAATGTTTTCTTCAAGGAAACGTGTGCAGTTGTTCAGTTTCGCCTTTGACCGACATGTTTTTGCAACAACACCGTTCCCTGTTACAAAGAGGAGCCTGCAGCTCTGGTTCTCATGGACCCAGACACACCAGAAATAAGACTCATGGTCTGAATGGGTATGAACGCTGTGATCCATTTTTCATCCGTACATTTTTCAGCATTTCAACAAATCATGAATCAAAATGTTCGGCTCTTTCAGGACAATCCTGCTCTGACTTTTAGCTTTTTGAAATATTTAGCCTTTTCTACCATTTTGTTCTCAAAAAAATGAATTGGGCTCATTTTACGTCCTTCAGATGTTCAGATGTGTTTACAACCTTTTGCTGCTCCTTTCACATTTTCTTCTGCTTCAGCTTCTTTCAGCTAATTTCAGCTGTTTTGTGCTCCTTTCAGATTCTTTCTGCTAACTACAACATTTTGTGCTTCTTCTAACTTCTTTCAGATCATTTCAGCTTGTGATGCTCCTTTCAGCTTATTTATGTAAGTTTAAACTTTTTCTGCTATTTCAGCTGTTTTTATGATAATTTTAACTTTTTTGGCTAATTACACATCTTTTGCACTCATTTAAACTTTTTTCAGCATAATTCAGCAGAAATGTGCTCTCTCTCTACTTCCTTCTAATAACTTAAGCTTCTTTCAGCTTTTCTAGCCACTTTTCAGCTGCTTTTTTGTTGCTAATTTCAGCTTTTGTCAGATAATTTCCACTTTTTTTGCTCATTTCTGCTTCTTTCAGCCTAACTGGGCAAACATGTTCTTTCTGCTTTTTTCTGCTAATTTAAGCTTGTTCTACATTTTCAGCTACATTTTGAACAGTTTTTCAGCTACCGGTAATTTCATCTGTTTTCGGATAAAGAAGTTTTTTTAAGAAGTTTTCAGAAGACAGCCGTCCCATAGGCTCCCGGTGAGATCCCAGTTTTCAGGAGTTTTGGAATCAGCTCCGAGCTCGACTCTGCACGCTTCAAGTGTGTGAATTACAGCCGAACCCAACTGATGAGTGTGAGAGAGGATTTACGACGGCGATCAGCAACAATCTTAAATCTACGCTCGGCAGACTGAAGCTCTTAAAGTCATCAGCGTGGAGGCTGCAGCAGTGGAGCTCAAACGGGAGGAGGAGGTTCACAAGTTTACGGAGGTGTTTATAATAATTGTTCACAAAGCCTCAGATGCTAATTATTAAAACGCCCTGCTGGAGCTGCATGATAATATTAATTCGCTGCAGAACAAACACCCCGAGGCATTTTAGGTGGTTGGTGACTTTAACCACGTAAATCTGAAAGACTCCCTGTCAGGATTTTATCAGCACGTGGCCATTCCTACACGAGGAAAGAACACGTTGGACCATGTTTACACAAACGTATGAGACGCATACAAAGCCACACCCCGCCCCCACCTAGGACTCTCTGACCACATCTCCAGCTTTATGGCCCCTGCTTACCTCCCCCCGCTGAGACCAACACAAAGAAAAGTTGGGTGAAGAACAGTGACTCCATACTGAAAGACCGTTTTGCATGCAGACTGGCAGGTCTTCAGAGAAGCTGCTGTAAATGTGGAGGAGCTAGACCTGGAGGAATACACATCCTCGGTCCTGGGATACATCATGTGTTGATGATGTCACCACCAGCAAAAAAGTTAAGAGCTACCCAAACCAGAAACCCTGGCTGAATGCAGAGGTTCACACCCTGCTGGAAGCCAGGGACACCTTCAGTTCTGGCAACTCACAGGAGCTGAGAAGGACAAGGAAAGAGCTGGTTTCTGGTATTAAGAGGGCCAAAGCCACATATGCAGGGTCAATTCACCTCGCAAGACCCACGGAGCATGTGGAGGGGCATTAAGTGTAAAACAAATTATAAGGGCGGGGGTGCACAATGCCCAAAGGACACAACTGCCTGATGCCCTCAACAAGTTCTATGCATGCTTTGAAAACCCGAACAGACCACTCCAGCTCCAAACTCACCTCACCATCGGAAGAGGAGTTTCTCAGCATGACCTCAGCCGAAGTGAGGAGGACCTTCAGGAGGATTAATCCTCACAAAGAAACTGACCCAGACAACATCCTGGGGAAGGTGCTGAAAGACTGTCGATCAGCTCTGTGAGGTGTTGGCCGATATCTTTAACTCCTCCCTCACCCTGGAGACAGTTCCCACTTGCCTGAAGACCATCACCATCATCCCAGTCCCAAAGAGCTCTACAGTGACTGGTCTGAATGACTACCGGCCAGTGGCCCTCACCCCGATAGTCGCTAAATGCTTAAAAAAACTGGTCATGACTCACATCAAAACAACCATCAACATCAATGAGGACCCTCATCAGTACGCATACCGTGAGAACCGATCAACAGAGGATGCCATCTCCTCTGTGGTCCACACTGCTCTCAACCACCTGCAGCAGAAGTACTCTTACGTCCGTATGCTCTTTGTGGACTTCACATCCGCCTTCAACACCATGATCCCCCAAACCCTGATGGACAAGCTATCCACACTAGGACTAAGCCCCTCCATTTGTAACTGGGTCCTAGACTTCTTAACAAACAGACCACAGTCAGTGAGGATCCACAACTTCTCCTCCTCCACCATAACCCTCAGCACTGGCTCTCCTCAGGGATGTGTGTTGAGCCCCCTCCTGTTCACTCTGCTCACGTATGATTGTGCAGCTACCCATCCAGGCTGTCACATTGTAAAGTTTGCAGATGATACAGCGGTGGTGGGATGCATCACAAACAATGATGAGTCCAGCTACAGGCAAGAGGTGGAACACCTGGAGAGCTGGTGCAGAGAGAATAACCTTCACATCAATGTGAAGAAGACAAAAGACATGATTGTGGACTTCAGAAGGAACAAACACACCTACACCCCCTGAACATAAGAGGATCTGTGGTGGAAGTAGTCTCCAGCTACAAGTACTTGGGTGTGCACCTGAACAACAACCTCAGCTGGAGCAACAACACCACCAGCCTGATGAAGAAAGCTCATCAGAGACTCTACTTCCTCAGACGGCTGAGGCGAGCTGGTCTGGAAGCTCAGTCCTCACCTCCTTCTACAGGTGTGCAGTGGAGAGCATCCTGTGCTCCAGCATCAACGTGTGGCATGGAGGCTGCACAGCTGCAGAAAGAAAAGCTTTGCAGAGAGTGGTGAAGGCTGCACAGAAGATGTTGGAGTCAGAAAGACGTTTCACACTCTATCCAGAGGGCTTCATCAGTCTGAGGAGTCCCAAGTAAACTGTTTCCCCACCAATCAGTACACTTCTTAAGTGGACCAACCAGTTTGCTGTAGATAAGATGGTTTCTGGGGGCTGTTCTGTCCCCCGTCGACTCCTCCCAGGCAGCAACAGCCAAAGTGCATGACTGAGCATGAACTTTGATGCCTAATCAGGATTATCACTTGATTGTTGATATGTGCTGCTCATTATCCATGCTGCTGATCTCATGCTGCTGATTTATTTCACGTTGCTGTGTTCATTCGTCCTCATCTGCTCACACAGACTCATGTTCGTGCTGCTGTTGTTCGGCGTATTGTTTTTGTACCATTATTGCTGAGTATATTCTTAGTTTAGTGTATTTCTTACTTGGTGTCTTGGATCTTATCACTGTTTTTCTTTACAATTTATACTTTTGTTGGATGTAACTGGGACCCTGTGTACACAGTTTTGTCCCACCTCATGTACCGCATGTGATGAGAATGACAAAGAAACTTTGACCTTGACTTGAAGATTAGTATTTTCATAGTCATTTTTGCCAATTTCATCCTAATTAACTGCTCTTTGCTAATTTCAGTTTATGTCCTGGTTCGTCCTCAATAATCCAGGTAGAAAAATGTGACAACGTTAAGTCAGGTCTTCTGGACGGATTCAAAAAATAAAGTTGGAAATGCAATTTCTGCATTTATTGTAAATATTAAACTGGACACACCTTCTTAGAACGCTGCTACAGTTCACAGCAAACAGCTAAACTTTCACAAACAAAACTTCATATACACATTATAAACTTCATTACACAGCTTCTAAGTCAAGGTCACAAGTCAAGGTCAAAGGTTATACAGGGTCTTTGCTTATCCATTGCTATGCTGGCTGTATAACAGTTGACGGGTGTAAACTGTGCTGTGGACTCAACTCAATCCGTGTTCTTGTCTTTTGGAGAGAGACAGTTTTCATTTTATTTTCCTGGGAGGGTCCGTGCACACTTCCACTCTGATGTCATGGGAGTGCAGCTGGATGGATTTACAGCTCTTTGTTACCTCTGAGCTACGACACACGGTAACAGCTGGAGATGCTGTTAGACGTTTAACACGGTTCCCTTCAGCATCAGAACATGAAATTAGCTGCTGAGTTTTATCTAAAAAGTTTTCACTTTGTAAACTGTGATCTTAGCGTCTTAATGCTTTGAATTTGAACCAACAAGCTGAAGAGTTTAAAACTTATAAAGATGTAAATTTAAAATAATTCAAGCATTTTATTTTTTATTCTTTTAATTTTTGTTTGTTTTCTTGTCTGAGGCAGTTGCACAGATCAAAGAGGAATTGTACCAACCACCAGGTGCAATGCTGAAGCTATGGGGGGGCCAGCGGTGGCCTTGACCCCGTAGATTAATCTGCAGAATCGTCATTTAAGGAAACAATACTTTTAAATAATATAAAAACTAGAAAACACGGTTTCCTTAAATGATGGGGCGGTCAGTTTTAACTGCATACAGGCGTTAACCAGGAAACGGTGGAGTAAGAGAAGGCCCCTCTGCCTGTCCGGTCCCTGAGTCCAGAACAGGCAGAGGGGCCTTCTCTGACTCCACCGTTTCCTGGAGTATCTTGTAAAAACATCTGAAGCTCTTGACCTTGACATCTCTAAGTGGCTTCAAACATCTGATAAGTTCCTGGCAAGGACCCGCGCAGACATGTTCCTGTTTTTAGTTTTATAAATCACTTTACAATGTAGCTGTTTAGTTTTGATTTTATTTCTTCTATTGACTTTTCATTTTATATGATTGTTGTTTGTACCTCATCGGTGTTCGATGTTTAAAACAGGTCTCTTTTGTAAATGAGTCCTCAAGGCTTGAGACTAACCTGTAGAAATAAAGATAGAAAGAATGAATGAATATGTTTTTTGCAGACTTGCTCTATCGTGGTTTTTCAAAATAAGAGTGGACATGACACACAACTGGCTGATCGACGGATGAGCAGTACGATCAGCATGGAATTTGTATTTAAAATAAATTATTTTAAATTATTTAGCACCTGGGGCAGCAAACTGGCACAACTGGTAGAGCTGCTGCCTCTCAGCGCGCAGGTCCCTGGTTCAAAACTTGGTCCAGGGGTCTTTCTGGGTGGAGTCTGCATGTTCGGGTTTTTCTCCGGGTGCTCCAGTTTCCTCCCACAGACCAAAAACATGCATGTTAGACTGATTGGTAACTCTAAATTGTCTCTAGGTGAGAGTGTGAATGGTTGTTTGTCTCGTTTGTCTCTTTGTGTCTCTGTGATGGACTGGAGACCTGTCCAGGGTGTCTCTGTGATGGACTGGAGACATGTCCAGGGTGTCTCTGTGATGG